CCCAGCTCCCGGCGAGAGCTGGGCGCCTTCCCCTCCCCACACAGCCCGGGGCCGCGGGCTCACCCTCCGCATTCTCCTGCTGCTTCTCCTCGGTGTTGCGGGCCTCCCTCGGCTCCAGCTGATCCGCTCTGTCCGGGACGGGCAGCTCCCGCTTCCCACCTGCGGACAGACAGACCTTCGCAGTCAGCAAGGACGCTTCCGGCAGCAGATGTTCTCTAAAATACTCCACGTCGTGTTGTCCCTCCCTGCCTGAGCCGGCACGGTTTATATTCATCCCAATGACTGCGAGGGAAGTAATAAAAAAAAAATATTTAACAATCTTATAGACTCGTGGCAGTGAGCCAGCGCTAACTACCTCAGCCAATTAAAATGCAAGAACGGTTCTAACTCGCTTTTAGACGGGCACTTAGCAATGTGTTACCTGTCAAGATCTCCCGGCTCGGTGTCCCCAGTGAGTGCGGAGACGCACAGGAACAGCACGGCACCCGACATTTAGCAGCCGAGCGCTAACTACCTCAGCCAATTAAAATGCAAGAACGGTTCTAACTCGCTTTTAGACGGGCACTTAGCAATGTGTTACCTGTCAAGATCTCCCGGCTCGGTGTCCCCAGTGAGTGCGGAGACGCACAGGAACAGCACGGCACCCGACATTTAGCAGCCGAGCAAACAACTGTTTGACAGGTATTACAGTAGCTGTCAAAGCCACCAGATTCCTCCTTTCCCCCAGCAGCTGCAGCAGGGGCTGTGCACGCTCACACGCTCACCTCGTGAAATTAAAAGGAAACACCGGGACGTAGGTAGGGAGAACCGAACTGCCCGCTTTCCCGGGGGGGATCACAGGTCAAGAGGAGAGTTTGTTCAGACAAGCCACCGTGGAGGGGGCTTACCAGGGTCGGCGTCCTTCTCCACGGACTTCGCAGCCTCCTCGGCTTTCCTGGGGAGCTGGAGCTTCGATTCCTCCCTGTCACCTGCAGCCTCGGCTTTCTTCTCGCCGTCCGGCACGGCGGCTTGCGCCTTGGCTTCCAGTGCTTGTTTG